AGACAGCCGTGTTTGAACACCGACAATCTAGTTTAATCCGGTTCCCATAATGGCCAAGCCTCCGCACCGTAGAGCAGGACTGGCCGAGCTGCTGCAGCATACACTCGAATCTCCACGGAGAGCTGGATGTCGCGACAGCACCAGAGATGTCTCGAGTTAACAAATATCGATCGATCGCTTTGTGTGCGTGCCGACACTTCAGCCATGATGCGTCCACCAGTTAGGGTTGCCATGAGCCCTCCCCCCGTTTGGTATTACATTATATATATTTCACACACGTTTGAGTTCAGACTGTGTGCGAGACAAATCAGGGTACAATAATCTTTCCAAAAGAAAAACGTTCCATGATTTGGAACTGGGCTGAATACTGCCAGGTTTCTCAGGCCAAGGCAGGTGAATTTTCTTGAGGAATCCTTAACCGGAGCCGTCGGCTAGCCAAAATCTGACCCACAATGCAGCGGAGCGGCGTGAAAACCGCAATACATTGGGAGCCGGTGTCCAGTTTATCGGATCATACGCCTTTTGGACAGGGTCAAATATCCAAGGCGCCTAATACACCTCGATGCCAAATCGAGCCGGTGACCGCTGCCACAATCGGAAAGGTGTGGGTTTGGTTCGTGCGCCTCTTCTCGGGTGGTTTGGAATCAGGGTTTTTGGCCAACTTCCCTAGGTGAACTACCGGTGGTTCACCAACCCGGTTATGTCGGCTTTGCGTCCTGTCACTTTGGTGGAAAAACAGGTCCGCCACGAGAAGGCAGTGAGTAGGATTTCCTCAGCAGAGGCTACTTGAGACGCTCAGTCGTATGGGAGTATTTTTTTGAGGTGCAGGGGAAGGGTGACCAACCGCAACCTAAGACACCCACCCCCGACCACACTGAGGATTTCGGAGGCCCAATCGGGAGCATAACGCGACCTACATGCCCAAGTCTCATCAGTAGTACATATCGATTTCCTCAACATGGAAAATGATAGATAGGTCCTATAGTGCACACAACTATTTTCGTTTCTGCATGCCCGATGTTGTTCATGCGATTCGCCACTCTAATAAGTCTCACGATCATGGTTTCCGGGTCTCCTTCTCACATTATGAATCAGGTGGGTACACGATCTCGCACTACTCACTCGCAAACCAATCACGAACTCATCACCCGCAAAAAATGTTTACGGACTGAACTGCTACATTGATTCTGCACACTCGTTTCTTCTCTAACCCTATTTTTACCCGCAACACAAATCTCTCCCTCCTTTTGACGGACACCATCCACCACCTTCAACTCTAACTAAACTTTCTACTCCTATTTTCTACCCCAAGTTGATGTTTATACTCCGGTTCACCCATCAGTTGCTATTTTCAGCGTATAAAACCTTGACTTTTTCAATCGTGAAAATATCGGCCGACTTGCGCAACTTCCTTTCTTCAATCATAATGTTGATGGTATTCTATCGATCTAGCTTTTGCTAATTTTATTTTTCTTATTTTTTTTCCTAGCATTGGACACCTATTTTTCACTGTCACCTTACGAGAGTTGAACGTTCACAATGAGGAACGGTCGACACAACCTCCAGACACTCTGTGTTTCGGGTGCGAAATCGAACATTTGACTGTGATCAACAGTTTGAGTCAGCTAGTCAGCCTCCTCGATCGATCGAGCTGATGACCGCGCTCGAAACCCAGTTTGATCTTCGTTTCTTCTCACATGTATTTACTCTCCTCAATTTTTACTACCGGGTTGTTTCAGATTCCACTTTACCCAATCACCCGACAGCTCTGAATTCTTTTTCTATTGGTAATCCTTTACCACCTAGTGTTAGCACCAAAAAGATTCACCAAAGGTTACGATCTCTGAGCGTATGCAAATCACTCGGGACGGATGGTATATTACCCATCGTTCTCGAAACGTATCCTCTCGAATTAGCTCGTTTCATGTAAGCTTTACTATTTTCCCCTCTAGCTTTCTACTATTCCGACCCATGTGCAAATAACGCGATTTTCTTGATGCGATTTGGATGGGTATCGCTCACTCACTGGTACACACTCGTGTGGGACGTGGATTGGGACTGTTGTCCAAGCGCTTGTTCGTTCGTGATTTTTGTTCGTCTGGTCGATACTATTGTGCTCAGGCTACAAATCCATGGGAATCACCTATTGTGTTCGTGAGAAAGAACGGTATGTCCTTTGGGTTGTGCACCCAATAATACCACTAAAGAAGATTCTTTTCCGTTGCCCCGGATATAGACGAGACGCGAACTCGTGACCATTTTCAGTGTCTCCACAACGGGTATTATAACGTTTAAGTACCACAGGACTGAAACTGAAACCTACAAAGTGCCACGTTACATTCTCTAAAGTACGATTTTTTGGTCACGTGGATAGCTGGAGAGAGAGAGAAGTGCTCACGAACCCCCCACCCCCAGAAGATAAGCGAACACACCATATAGCCACAGAAGAACAAAATGCAGGAGGTATACAGTTTTGACGGTCTAGCGTCATGTTAAAGGTGATTTGTTCGCGACTTTACTAAGATGGTCGCGCTGTGACATCGGTTGACGGAAACGAAACAGAATTTTCCATGGTCTGAGAAGCGTGACATTACATTGTCAATTTCTGCAACACACATGTGCTACGTGTGCAAATAAAATTACTCAGAACGGCTAACAGAGTACGGATGACATTGAGAACATTGTTTTGGTAGTATTTTTTGTATATTCGATAATACCCTCAGGAATTTCATAATTTGGAGATGTATTTTTGCAATTAAAACCTCCGCGTTCCTGTCAAGGGAAGAGAAGAAAAAGATGCACGAGAACAGAATGTCCTAGGTCGTACAACTGTAAAAATGACTGTTTCTCCTTTGATCAGCACGAATGTCCAGGTGGTTGTTTGGAAATTCGAAAGATTTGAGTCATTTTCTAAACAAAATCAAATAGGCAGTGGTCGGAACAGAGAGCCAACAACCGTTCCCCGTTTTCGGAGCGACAGGAGTCTAGTCCAAAAGGACCACCCAGATGCGCCTCACTCGGAGCCAGTCGACCTACTCGAGCATTCATATCACCTGCTAAAATCACGATATCAGCCCGGGTCGCTTTACGCAAGAGGTCGTGCAGATTGTGATAAAATTCATCTTTGACTGCATCTGGGCTACAGTCCGTGGGGGCGTATGCCGAAACGACGAACAAGTTTCGTCTATCGGGTCGACGGCTGTTGACTTTGCACGCACCTCTGAGTCTCACTGCGCACAACCTACTGTCGACTGGGATCCAGTCCAGGAGCGCGGCTTCAGCTCTCTCACTGAGAGCCACGCCGACGCCAGCGAGACCGGAAGCCGCAGCCTCAGGGTCCCCAGAAAGGCGTAAGTGAAACTTCGCTGAAGGGTTTGACGGGGACGTCAATCGGATAGTGGAGCTGGAGTCTTGAATGCGAGTTTCTTGGATGCAACACACATCGATGGCTAGGGTTTCGAGCGTACGAGCTAAGCACGCCTGTTGTCCTATACGCATCAGAGTGCGCACATTAAACGTGGCTAGTTTGAAGGGACATCGGGGGCGAAGAAGGGCTTCAGCTGGTGGAGGGTTCGGTGAGACTTGGATACTAGTCGAGGTAGGACAAGAGTGAACAGCGGCAGAACCTCCGCCCGAGGCACTACTGTTAGTACGATCGCCTGAAGAACCCGAGAGAGATGAGGGAGTGTCGGGGAGGTAGAAATGAGCTGGAGGGAGGCTGGGAGGATGAGAGGGTGTGTACGGTGTAGAATGTTTTGTGCATGTTGGAGAAGCGTCAGAATACATAGTCGTAAGAGTAAGATTCATGGTTCATGGTTGTGTGCGTTGCGGGCTATTGTACTACTCGGTCGCCCGGTCCAGAGTAGGCCTTGTTCGAGGATGCACTCTAGCCTTTGCGCAACCAAGCGCGGACTGCAAGGCAGCAGTGATGTTCCAGATGAGCCGGTGGCCAGTCGTCGGTTCATTCGCCTCTTCTGGAAAACCTTGTCGAGCAATGGATCCCGACAAGGGGCATGACCATATTTAGTGGCGGGCCACACTCGCCACGTCACAGCGCTGTCCGCAGATGTATGTGGCGTTTTGAGCGGAGAACCCTTGCCAAGAATAAACCCAGCGTATTCTAATTTATCGACCATTCCCAACCTTAACCATTCCCAGGTTCTGTCCCAGTACTGTCAAGATCAATAAACGAATATAGCTTTCCCTGTCTGCTAGTTCACCGGTCTCTGCAATAATAACGACAAAGCTACGGTTGAATAAAGTTCTGAGGGTGAATAGTGTTCATCCCTTTTTCGTGTAACTTTTTCCTATTCCCCCTTGCAATCTACAACAACTTTCGGTGTTTGTTTTTCGACTGGCACGTAAACATTCCTGCTCAGAAAAGACGTTTATATTTATATTTCACTCACGTCTGAGGTTAGACTGCGAGTCAAATCAAGGTACAATAATCTTTATAAAAAAGAAAAAAGTTCCATGATTTGCACATGGGCGGAATACTGTCAACCCTCTATCCAAGACCTGGAGACCATCAACATACAGTCCAACGGATCGTAAACGTGCAGCAGCATATATCCTCTGGCATGCGTGAGAGACAGAGAGCTGAATCTGTTATCAGATCACATGCAAATAAACGGATTATTTCAAAGCGGCTTCGGACGAAAGATGACTCAAATAAAGAATGATGATAATAACGACGGGACGCACGGAGAAATAAACCAACAATAACAACAACAACAACTCACCAGAAGGCACGTCGATGGAGATAACCGGTCGCGTGGTTTGGCACATACGATCGAGCAACGGCTTGAATTCCTCATTCACGGGAGGCTTGAATCCGAAACCAAACAGTGCGTCCACAACCAAATCGTATCGATTATCGATTTCCGAGACCTTCGATNCCTTCGATGGTCCGTTTCCCAGGCATCAAAACAGTATGCGAATAGAAACAGAGGAGCTTCAAGTTCAAGATGAAAGAGCTTCATACAACACTTTGAAACAAAGTGCGTATTTTTTACCGTAGGAGAAACACTTCATCGAGCAATTGTTTTTCTACCTCACAAAAGACAAATTCTCTCCTGCCCATACGTACAGGAAAACAGAAACAGGATGCACTGATTCGAAGGGAAACTGAAATGCACTTCTACCAGGTAGTAGTCTATAATGTTCAACCCTCATTTATTTGCGTTACCGCTTTCGCCATTAGCTATTTTGATTACATATTATTGTGTGTTAGATAGTGTAAAGGATGAACTCTTTAACCACAAGGACTTGCCATTCCGTCATTGGAAGCAGCAAGCCAAAACGGAGAATTAGTTAAACACATGTGCAAGATGCGATCAATACAACTGCACGTTCCCATTTAGTTACCTCCTTACGAAACTTTCGCATTTTGTTATTGTATTATGCAGTAGCAATAACATGCTTAAAGGATTATATACCCAACCGTTCTCTGGCAAGCGACCATCACCAAAGCACTTTAGATGACTCGGATCATGTACGAGTTTTTAGCACATGACGACTTTTCTTCCAAAATTCTTCCACAGTGAGAAATTTTCTCACGGCGAAATGAAAGTATATTTCTTATCTGATACTTTTCATTGATGCAGTGGTTTTTATAATAATTTTTTTATTTGGATTACATTACGTTCCCGGATCGCCCAGAGCGAGAGGAAGAACAAAGACCGTCTGATCGTCAGATCCGTGTATGTTCGAATGAATGTGTCACGCACTAAACCACATGACGAGAGGGGCAATCATTACATCATAAAAGGTCAAGGTCAATGACGCAGTCTGTTCATCTGCTGACCATTGGCACGCCTAACACCTCCCCCGTAAATCCTCGAGCCTCATATGATTTCATGCGTGGGTTTACCTGGAGTGGCTGTGTGAAACGTTTATTACGATGAGGATATCTATACTTTTTTCAGTTTAAGATGTCCCAAATCCAATTTAGGATGTCATGTTGCTATGTTTTCACTCTGTACTGTGCAAGGTACTATCCACATAGCAACATGACATCTTAAATTGATACTCGGACATCTTAAATTCATATTGTGACATCTTAAATCGGATTTCGGACATCTTAAACTGAAAAAGGTATAGATACTGGCAGGGGACCATTTCGTTGCGTAACCAAATCCAACATTTGCGGTTGCGTATTGTGGTCATGCAGTGTGTTGGCATGTATGATCATCAGGAATGATATCTTCGCGTTCATCTGGATTGTATTTTCTTCGTAGCTGGTTTGCGTGTCTAATCCACTGTTCTGTTCCTACTTGCAGTTTGTACACAACTTGTCCTCGTTTTCCTGTTACAGTTCCTGGAGTCCATGTCTGACGATGTGTTCTGAAGCCTCCCAAGGCCTCAGTATGGATGGGGGTGGGTGTCTAGGGTCGCGGCTGGTCACCCTGCCCTTGCACCTCACGAAATGCCCCTATACGACCAAGCGTCTCAAATAGCCTCTGCTGAGGAAGCCCTACTCACTGCCTTCTCGCGGCGGAGGTGTTTTCCCACCAAAGTGAGAGGACGAAAAGCCGATATCCGGGTTGGTGGACCACTGGCAGTTCACCTAGGGGAGTTGGCCAAAAACCCTGATTCCAAACCAACCATGGGGAGACGTACGAACCACACCCACACCTTTCGGCTGTGGCAGTGGTCATCGGCTCGATTGGGCATCGAGGGGTATTTGGCACCTTGGACGTCTGACCCCGTCCGAAGGGCGTATGATCCGATGAACTGGACACCGGCTCCCAATGGACTGCGGTTTTCGCACACCGCCCC